TCCAGCTAAACAATATATGACATCATATTGAAACTACATTTTTCCTTCTAATTTTGTGATTGGTTAGAAGTGACATTCTTATTTATCTAAAGTATGTCTCATATCATGTAATGGATACTACCGATAATATGATCAACAACAATTTAAAAAAAAACAACCTTTGGGTCCTGTTGAGACAGAACAGTTAAACCCTGATTGTTGATAGGTAACAATGCAAAGAAATCCAAATGTGTATGTGTGCAATGTTTAACTCCAAAACTTTTAAAGCAATTTGTAAAATGTTTGAAGATATTCATTTCTGTACTTCATGAAACCCCTTATAATAAATAAGCAAAGGAAATGTGGAGTCACATTACAAAATGTACACAATAATTTAGTTTTTACTGATAGGAGTGTTTAAATGATTATTAATCAAAACACAAAGCACAAAAGAGAAATGTGATAAGTTTCTTAGAGGTCTGAAATGAAACCTGTTTTTTTTATACTCAAAGGTCTGATATTTTTCACTATAGTTTTGTCTGTACATTTAGAAAAGGACTTGCCTAACTAAGTCTGCCTGCTACAAATGGATGGATTCATACTTTTGCTACAACTCATTCCAGCAGTGCAATTTTATTCCATTTTAAATCCACCTTTATGACTGAATGTGTCAATTAAGCTACAGGAATACATTTCTGTCTTACTTTAAACTATTAATTTAAATGACTCAATAAAGCTTTTTTTATCAGTCTTATGTTTTAGCTGACTGTTTTCTCTTTTTCTGTTTTTTGGCAAAATACAAGTTCCACATTTTATAAGATAAACTTAAAATAAAGAAAGTTTCCTCTGACAAGAAGTAACTTTAGGAAAAAAATATTTGAAAATGTATATGATAATATTTGGCTTTGGGTTTTAAGTGTATTGTTTGATGCTTTAGTAAATGGATTGAGTTTATGGCACTCTTTAATTGAATATTAATTTTTTACTGGGTTTTTATATATTACTATTTTTTATTTTCAATATACATTTAACTTGCTCAGTCATTTTATATTTTTAAGTTTTTTATTCATAGTTCCAGTATGTCCAGGTGTTCTTAAATGGCACAAAGACTAAAACTTTGTAGATGTGAAAAGCATTTTTTTACATTAGTAGTAAAATTTGTAATATTTAATCTTGGATGTAAATTAACAATAATAATAATTTTAACCCTAATTACATGAATCTATTAGTCTCTATAATCTTCTCCCATGGAAAATTTGCTACACAACAAGAACAAAAATTATGTATATGTGCGAGGTAACATGTTAACTTTAAAACTGACTTGCAGTTTAGCAATACACTATTTCATAACATTTTTCTATCATTGTGGTATAATTAGTTTTGTTATTAAAAATTTGGAAATTGTAGAATTGTTCTCATTTAATCCTTTCATGACCAGATATTTTATATTCAAAATTGGGAAATTTCATGAAATATCAAAAATATTATATTTGATTGATTTATTTCCTATTTCATCAAAGAAATGCCTTACACAATGTATATTATTGGATCTAGTGTTAAAAAACCTTACAAAAGGCTATTGTAAGAAAGAGGTAGTTCTCATTACTATAAATCAGTTAATCAGTGATGATATCACTACACAGGTTGTCATTCTTGTGTATTAGAATTTTTCATTCCACATGTAAACTAAATCATATCTTTTCTTGCACTAGTTAATAGTCATCTTTAATGCTCTAGAAGAAACATACTGCAATTTCTCAAACTTTGCATTCCAGATAAATAAAATTTAACTACTCTTTATCATGCTTGCTAATTAGTTGCACATTTGTGTTCAGTTTTTCTGAGCTGTACTGTACAGTAATTACAATACTTTTGAAGGTCTTCTATTCACT